GGGGGTTTGTTTTTTAACTCGGTTTGTCTTGTTCTAAAACTTGGTTTTATTTGCCACCCTTTTTGGGCAGATCTGGGGCTTATTGTAATTTGGTTTCTTTGTTTCTCAGATTAACTTTAAAGGAAAACTCCCCCTCTACTTTTAAAAGGTTATTAGTGAAGCGGGGGCCCTCTTCCCCCAAAACCCACCCCCCCTCAACCTTTTCGCCCAAAAGGGTCCGGGAACCCACCAGAATAGAATGGATGAAAAAACATTTTTTCGTCAGATTTACAGCCAAAAAAAGGCAAAAAAAAAAGAATAGTAGCTTTGCAAAGGGGAAAACACTGCCCAAAAAATCAAACTAGGGTTTAATCTACCTCTAAACCGGGGGGGCTTCAACTTGGGGTTTGGGGGGGGGGGGGGGGGGGGGGGGTTCAAAACCCCCTTTAAAGGGGGGGTTTTGAAAAAAACTTTTGGAGCCCACAGTTCATTAAAGTTATGAAGTAGCAAAACAAAAAATTAAGGTTTTGGATAAAATATAAAAGGGAACATTGTTAAAGGTTTAGATAAAAATTAAACCTTTTTTTTTTCTTTTTTACCACAAACAATCCCTATCACCCCCCCCTTTTACCATTCTTCTTCCCCTGCCCTTATCCCCAATGGAGCAAAAAAAGCCTCAACCAACCCCTCAATGCCAAGGGGTTAAAAATTTTCTTTTGTTATAGAATGCAGCCTTACCTTTTTCCCCCCCCCCCCCCCAGTCATTTTTAAACTTTACTTCACCCGGGGTTGTTTTTTTTCTCTACATTTTCCCCCTTTTTAAATTCTTTTTGGTCATTTTATTAATGAATGTTATTTATCTTAAAAGAAAAATTATTTGTTTTTGGAAATTTTGCTGGTTTTTCCCCAGAAAGGGCAATGGCTGTTTGTGTTTCCAGGATGAGGAGACTGAGGCCTTACTTGGTGCAGATTTTGATATTGGGAATTTCATTCGGGAGAGAATAGTGCCCAAAGCAGTTCTGTACTTTACAGGAGAAGCTCTCGACACTGAGGAGGTGAGTACCTGAATCAACTCTGACAAACACTGTCTTTGGAATATGTCTATGTCCACCCTGTGTGGGTTACCGGCATCCTATTTAGGAAGGGGGAGGGGGAAGAGGGATTGACACATTACCCCCTAACAAGCATGTCATTAAGGGCGACTGATTAGAAATTTGCTGAAATTTGCAGTTTTGAGCCGAAAGTATATTAGTATATCAAGCTGTAATTAAGAAGAGTTTGGAGGTAGCTGAGATGTGGTTCTTGAGAAGCATGTTTCGAATACCTTGGACTGCCAAATAACTAACAGTAATTGCCTTGAAATCACTTTACCATCGATGTACCACCGGATTGTTCAGGGCCAGCCAGTCTGTCTACCTGTTCAGTTCTCAACACACCTGAATATCCTGAGAAATTATCCTAACATTGCTAAATACTCAGGATCTGATTTGATTGCAAGTAAAGATGGAATGTATGATGTTGACTGCATCACTTGTGAACTGCTGACTGGGTACAGTTTTATGGAAAGACAAGCACTACAATAAGCCTTTTACAAATACTGTAAAAAAGTTAAAGTGTCGTATCCTTTACAGAACATTGCAGAACCACCCAAGCCCAGTACTTTTGGCTTTTAGTGATTTCACTAGCCAATTTTATGTTTAGTAGTTTCCATTGCTTTCTCAACGGTTGGTTGTCGATACCTTTTTCAAAACCAGCGCAGAGCGGTCAGTAAGGGCAGAGCTTAGATCTGCACCAGCACTTTTAGACTGTGTGCACACACATGACTTGATAATGCCACAGGTTAATTTCTTTCTTGTCTTGTTTTTGTTTCAGTATGAAGAGGAAGATAATGAGGAAGTAAGTGAACTGTAGTGTTGGAATGCTTGATCCTTTTGTCTTCACTGTTTGTCTGTCTTGGAATGCTTGATCCTGTTGTCTACACTGTTTGTCTGTCTTGGAGTGCTTGATCCTGTTGTCTGCATCTGCACCGTTCGTCTGTCTTGCAATGCTTGATCCTGTTGTCTACACTGTTTGTCTGTCTTCACAATTAGATAGTCTTGTTTTTAAATGAGCATTCCTTATCTGAAAAATCCTAATCATAAAGCAATTTGTATTGTGATTTTTTTAAATTTTTATATGCTGGCATCTTTGAGCATTAAAAGTCTATGGTTAAGCACCAGCAAGGAAATTAAAATCTTAAGAGCATGCATCTTTCCTGTAGCAACATACCAATTTGAGTCTTGGACTATCTTTTAGTCCATAAGAAAACAAATAGGGGCTGAAATGCTTTAGACAGATTATCAGAATACCATGGAGTCCTTGATCTGAACATCAAGGAAGATGGGCTTATAAACAGCATCTTGTTCTGGAAGCCAAAATATTTTGATCATATCAAGCGCCATCGCAGATTGGAAAAAAAAATTTATAGTAGAAGGCATGGCACCAGGAAGGAGGGGCAGGGGCTGACCAACACGAAGATGGGCACAGGTTATAAGTGACTGCTTGAGGATGAAAGTATATAAGGCGTGAGAGCTAGCGAGAGACTAAGTTTCTGTCAGGCAGACCGCGATGAGAGCAATGTTCTGCAAAGGACCTGCTACATGATGATGATGAGCATCTTTGACGACTGGCTGGCTAGTATTTGGGGGCCAGTAAATCCAAGCATTTTTTTTAGGAGGCATTCCCAGGGGAGGAGAGGGGGGGGGGGGAGTGGATGTAATCGGATGAGGGGCTGAAAGGTGCAGATATTGCAGCCTTGCTGTAAACCACAACACAATGTACTCCGCACCCTTTTCAGGGTGAGCACAGAAAAAGACGAAAGGAGGCTGAATTTTGGGCCTATCACTAGGTTTTTCATATTGTTTAGGTTAAATTTCTTTTAAAAAGTTTATTTGCAACTCACTTAGATAAAAATTCTTCCAAAGAAAAAAATGTGTTGGTATAAGGCACACAGGAGGTGAAAATAACCAGTTAAAGGCATAACTAGATAGTCTTATATTTGGAAACCACAAGGCAAGCAGACACACTCTTTTCCAGGCACACTGTTACTTTCCATGCACACATTCTCTCTCTCTTTAAAAAAAATTTTGTGTGCAAACAAAAACACACTTTCTATTCGAACATGAACTCTTTTTAAAAAAACAAAACTTCGAGCTGTGATAAATAAATATTGTCATAATAAGGCTAATATCACTTTCCATGAATGCTCTTTCTAAAAGCATTGTTAAAAAAAGCAAATCAGAGTTCATCTGCCTGAGAGGCGAGGAAAAAACCAGTCTGCCGTAAAAAAAAAAAAAAGCCAGATATGTAAAACAGATGTGCACACAGAAGATCATCTTATGCAGTATATATCTTTGTCATTAAAGGTTAGAAAAAGAATTCTGGCTTGCTACATACATCCAGTTTTAACATATGGCTGTGAGTCCTAGACAATCGGTAGGCAGGCCAAACAATTTCTTTAGGCCCCAGAGATGTGGTTTTATAGAACAATGCTTAAAATACCTTGGACAGCCAAAAAAAAAAAAAAAAAGCAACCACGAGGTTTTGAAAGAGGTGGGAGCCCGAAGACAACTAATCACAGACATCAGAAGGAGACAGTCATAATTTTTCTGCCATGTTATGAGAAGAGGGAAAATGGAACATGTGGTGACCACTAGAAAGATCTGTGGAAGGAGGGATAAAGAAAGACAGAGAGAAGATTCTTGACAGTCTTGTTGCATGGTGTGGTGTGTCAGCACACAAACTAATAGATGCTGTAGGAGATCGCAGATTGTGGCGAGGCATAATCACCTACGCCAGTCAGCAAGGCACCTGGTGATGATGATACACTATTCGTATTCGGCCGAATAGTTGGTCCCACTATTTGTATTCGGCCGAATAATGAAAATCATTATTGGGTACAGCCCTAGTTTCAACTGCATCAGAAAACCAGCCATATTAGGCTGGAAGTCAGAAGATATAAGTAAGTAAGTAAAAGTCCCTTTTCCACGCCTTTAGGTGTACAGGGCATAAAGAGCCAGACCTATATTTTTATAGACCAATCGGCACAAGATGAGTGATGTGGTCAGCATCACGCCCGCCGTCTTTACTTCCCGGAACTGCGCCCAGGACCCACTCAAGGCTGGGTCAACCTGGGAGTCAAGGTCATTTTTGAAAAAAAAAAGTCAGGCTCCGCCATGGAGCGAACCCACAACGTCAGAAGATATGCTGGAATGAATCTTGCACAACAAGTAGCCCCCAAATGCTGGTTTCCCTACCTGTCTTCTGTGTTTACCAGCTGTAAACTCAAGCAGAAAGTTCTGGTTGTTTGTCCACTTGTGGACTTTAGTCTTGTTCCATAGTTGTATTTTTGTGTGTACATCCATTTTACAGATTTGGCTTATTTGTGAGCAGGCTGTTTGTTTCACTGCTGCTCAGGCAGATGCGCTCCAGCTTTGAAGTATACACCCTTAATTAGTCCACTTTTACAACATGTTTTTAGGACAGTGGGTCTTCTCCCCCCCCTCCCCCCCACCTTGAAATTGGGGCCCTAGACCCCACACAGGGAATCCCTGCCTTAAAGAATGTAGCGTGGCATTCTTATTTTTCGTCTTTACCCATTATATTTTTACAGAGTTCAGGCAGCGTGAGAGACACATTTTAATTTTACATGTTTGTACATAAGTGTATGTATGTGTACATGTGTCTTTTTTACCCCTTGTTTTACATATTTATATCTTATCTGAACATTAATACAGAAGATACACATTAGCAAACTGTTCTGATAAAGAAGCAGTGATTTTGATAATTTTATTTCAAAGAAAAGTACCTGTTTCAGCTATGCTCCTAATAACAGGCACATATTATTGCGGCCAAAAACACACCCTGACAGGGTGTCAATCACATGTAAATTGCAGACTTCCTGCGACTTGAATTGCAGACTTCCAGGAACTACCGCCACCGCCGAGAGGAACTTCCACTCCGCTATGCGCAGCGTTGAGTGGGGCTAAACTAGATGGCTGGGACTCACGAGCAGCAGCTACCAAGCATCTCCTGCAGCTTCCTTCAATTTATGTGATCCTGAGTCCCCGCTATCTAGTTTAGCCCTACTCCACGCCGCGCGTAGCAGCGTGGAAGATACTCTCGGCGGTTCTAGAAGTCCGCAATTTACATATGACTGAGGCCCTGTTAGTAAATATTTTTGGCCTCCATAATATGTGCCTGTTATTCGGAGGATAGCCCCTGTTTCCTTGTTGGTGTCTTGTGTGTGTTGTTATTACATTTATTTATTTATTATTTAAATTTGTTTGTTGGGAGGGTCTCAATGACGAAATGATGATGGTGTTTGCCTTGTGCTTTGAAGGCTGTGGGTTCATTTCACAGACGCGTTATTCAGTTATGAATGTAATTTTTACGCAACTCCCTGAGGATTTTCCCTGAAGCTGTAGGTTCATGTTGTGTGCGATGTTGTGTGCGATGTTGTGTGCGATGTTGTGGGCAAATGGCTGGTCTGTCTGTGTAGAGTTACTGAGTCGTATGGGATACATCCGGTACAATAAAATCGGTCCTCTCGACTGTTACTTTATATATACATTTTTTTTAAAGCTTTTTTTTTTTATTTTTTAAAGTTTAAAAAACATTTTAACTACCATGTTTCCCCCGAAAATAAGACATTACCCCAAAAATAAGCCCAGCAAGATTTTTCAGGATCCTACCCCCAAAATAAGCCCTTGTTGAGATTGTCAGCTAGAATGAGAGAATTGTTGCCAGATGGCCTATTAGCCATAATTCTGGATTTTGAGAGTTATGCTGATGTTCCAGAAGAAAATGACGTAAGATATGACTGTTGGAATAAATGTAGAATTTTGTAAATGATCAAATGTTGATTTTTGTTTCTGAAAAAAAAAATGGCGGCATCCCATAAACATAAACCCTAGTGCATTTTGTTTTGTAGAGACCTGGTCTTTTTTTTTTTCTTTTCGAGGAAACATGGTTGTGGCTGTAATTAGTGGGTTTTGAATTTGGTTGTTGTTTCTACATAATATTTGACATTCTGGGAATGGGAGGAGTGCTTGGGAGGGGCGGGTATGCACACAGAGTGACAGAAAGTTTTTGGTTATGTTAATTATAAAATTATTTTTTTTGGCAGGGAAATCAGATTTCATCTGAACTTTATTAATAGAAGTAGCTGTAGCCACAGCAGTTGTACTAGTAATAGCAATAGTAGTAACAGTAGTAGTACTATAACCAGCAGTAGTAGCATCTGTAGTAATAGCAGCAGCAGTTGTAGTAGTGCAGGAGTACTAGTAGTTCAGCGGTTGTAGTACTAAAAGAAACAGTGGGGGTTTTTCATTGAAACAAAAGGGGGTTAGGGGGTTTTGGGGATGGGATTCAGGTCGAATTAATTGTTTTGCTGTGGCATAGTAGCCAGTGTATTCACCTATAAAGATAGTGGTCCAGATTCACTCCCCAGCAGAGGTGGATTATTTTTCATGAATTGTACAGTTGTAGCTTTGATCCAACCTCACAGAATGGTTGTTAACAATTATTGTGGAAATATGTGGGAAATACAGGCAGGGCAGAGGGCGTTATATAGTGGCTTCGAGTATATGACACTGGAATAGTAATTTGTTCTGACAGTTTGTTTTGCTTCTAATCTTGTTTGTGAGAATTGAAGTTTTTATTAATGTTGTATTTTCAGTGTTGTTGAGCTGTGAAATGACTAGACCGGAGTGAATTATGAAACACCATCCTTCCATCTTCTTCCTTTCTGTAATGTGCTCATCTAGGGGCATGTGTTGTTTACCTTGCTTTCAGACGAACAGTGAGTTGAAACGACACAGCATGAACGAATATTGATTTCTTGCTTTTTATTCGTT